CCTTGCTTCCCTCTCCACAGCCAGAAGGAACCTGTAGCCACTAGAAAATAAATCCTTCTCGCCCTGACCGGTTTGGCTCAGTGGACAGAGCGTCGGCCTGCGGACTGAAGGGGCCCAGGTTCGATTCCGGTCAAGGGCATGTATGATGGCTACGGGCACATCCCCAGTAGGGAGTGTGCAAGAGGCAGCTGGTAGATGTTTCTTTCCCATCGACATTTCTAGCTCTCTATCCCTCTTCCTTCCTCTCTGTAAAAAAAATCAATAAAATATATTTTATTTATTTTTAAAATATATTTTTATTAATTTTTCACAGAGAGGAGGAGAGAGGGATAGAGAGTTAGAAACATTGATGAGAGAGAATCATTGATCAGCTGCCTCTCGCACACCCCCCACTGCAGATGTGCCCGCAACCAAGGTACATGCCCTTGCCCGGAATCGAACCTGGGACCTTTCAGTCCACAGGCCGACGCTCTATCCACTGAGCCAAACCGGTCCCGGCAATAAAATATATTTAAAAAAATAATAAAATAAATCCCTGTCCTGAGCTCAGTACCCTCTGACACCGTCCCCCATCCCCCATTACTCCCAGAGGAAAAACCTAGTCCTTAGAAAGGCTTGCAAGACCCTAACCAGTTTGGCTGCTGTGACCACTCTGAACTCATCTCCTAGCCCATGCCAGGGCTGTGGGCGTGATTCCCAATAGGGGGCGTGCAGGAGGCAGCCAATCGATGTTTCTATCTTTCTATCCTTCTCCCTTCCTCTCTCTCTGAAATTAATAAAAACATATTTAAAAAAAATCTAAATAGTGCAGGGAAAAAAAACATCAGAACCATGACTTACTTAGCTCTCATTTTATGGTTTAATATTTTTATTTGATATATTGGGGAGGGTGAACCATAATCTTGGCAATGCTTTGAGCTTCTAGATGTCCCGGATACTAACAAATATTTTTTTTACAGAGAGAGATTCACCTTTATGTTCCCAGTAGCTGGCACAAAGTAGGAGCTGTTGCAGTTCATGTGTGATGAATGAATGAAAATGAATAAATGAGCTCTGCATGTTTCTGAAATGTGGCAACCCAGACCCGAAGCCAACTCCATGGGTTTCTCACACCCCAGACCCTGGCTCTCCCTCCTCCCAGCCACAATGGCCCTATCCCCTACCCCAGCAGCTCTGGATGCTGTCCTGGACTTCGAGGCCCCTGCAGTCTGGGGAGAGATCACAGAAAAGCCTCCGGTGGGGCTGGGGACCAAGGAAAGAAGGGGGGGGGGGGCACGACCTGACTCATGAGGAGCTCTGGAAAGGGCTCCCTGTCCCCTAGTTACCACCCACATCTGGGCAGGGCAAAAAGCACCTTCCCCAGGGATGGGAAAGCCGTGTCACTGGGGGAGAGGAGGCACGAGGAACTGATGGGTGGATGTGAGCTCACACCGCTGCCTGGGAGTAGACAGGACTAGGAAGGGGATGAAAGCAGGAGGGGAGTGGCCAACGGGGTGGAAGATGAGGGAGGATAGGATTTGGGCCCCCTGAGGCTCCGTAGCAACTTACCAGGCAGCCGCTGTATGAAATTGAGCTCCGCCTGGTACCTGGGCTGAGTGTAGGACCAGATTCGCACCTCAGCCCCTAAAGCAGCCTCGAAGCAGTCAAATGTCACAGAGCCCTGTGAGGAGAGGGGTGGCAGGAGGCTGGTGGTATTGGGCTCAGAATCCATGCCAGGGATGTGGGATCCTCTGTGTGGACCACTCCCTCCCATCGTTCCCCGACCAATGACTATGTTCATACTGTATGGCCTGAAATTCTGCCATTGAAGTTTCTTTATAGGGCTCCCAGTTCTAAGGCACACACCCTCAATAGGGGTGTCAGCAGGGCACGATAAGTCCCTGCCTCAACTCCAATTGTTCTGGATCACATGGCCAAAACCAAGGTGTCCGCACACCCTTCCCCACAGAATTGGTTCTCACGCCCAGAGCCTCTTTGGTCCTTCCCATGGGCTGGGCCAGCAGATGCTCACCCACCCAATAATTCTCCAGATGAGAGGATATTGCCTGGGGCCTGGGGGCAGGAGGGGACCATCATAGGGTTTGAGTGGTTTGGCCCAAGTGGAGAGACCCCTCCAGGAGTAGCCCCAACACCCTGCACCTTGGGGTACACATGGGGCAGAGATGCTGAGGCAGGAAGTCCAGAGCAGTGGATCCAGCCCTGGAAAATTAGGGTAATAATAATAATAATAATAATACCTGGCATTGTCACCTCACTTAATCCTCACAGCATCCATATGAAGTAGGACTTTTTTCTTTTTAAATATATTTTATTGATTTTTTTACAGAGAGGAAGGGAGAGAGATAGTTAGAAACATCGATGAGAGAGAGTCATCGACCAGCTGCCTCCTGCACACCCCTCACTGGGGATACGCTCGCAACCAAGGTACATGCCCTTGAACGGAATCGAACCCGGGACCCTTCAGTCCGCAGGCTGACGCTCTATTCACTGAGCCAAACCGGTTTTGGCTGAAGTAGGACTTTTCTTATCCCCACATTGCAGACAGGAAAATAGGTATAAAGGGCTGAAAGGATTTGCCCACAGCCCTGATCAGCCCCGAGCTAACGCATGTGGAAGCACTTTGCAGATTTCATATTCAGAAGGTGGTGGTTATTATTATTATTATTTCTCATACCACAGACTGGCCAGGCTGCACGAGGGCAGTGGGCACTTGCACCTCCAGCAGGACACAGCGGGCAGTAGGGTAGGCCTGGAAGGAGAGCACGACTTGGGCCTGGAGGGAGGCTGTGAGCAAACAGGGCGAGAGCTGGTCAGCCCCAGGGGCCGCAGGCAAGGCCCTGGCAAGGGGCAGTTGGGCCAGCAGGGCGTTCCTCACCATTCCTAGGCTCTTCAAGCTCTGGGTCAGCTGCTCTTCCAAATGGTTCCTCATTGTCAGGCTCTTCCCAGTGGCCTGGAAGGCCCCAAGAACAGGGCTCAGGTCAGGCCTCCTGCTCTGGGCTGGCTTTGGTTTTGGCTTTCTTCCAGAAAGTGCATGCGGGGAAGCTGGGGCCAGGCCTGAGGCCTGGGGGTGTGGGAGGATGGGGAGACCAGACCAGCCTGGGGTCCTTTGGCCAGTGGCCTCCAGGAGAACACTGAGGATGTCCAGTGCTGCCTGACACACTGCCTGATCCTCATGCCCAACCCAGAAACGTTCACATGTGCACATGGGTGGCATGCTCACCACGCACGGCCAGGTGGACGGACACACGCACGCAGAGGTTGCAGTCAGTCTCCTCATGACACCTCAGCACCAGCTCTGTCTGCAGGCGCGTGGGCACCAGCACGGGTCCTGGGGCAGGCTCGACAGCCCCAGGCAGGCAGAGCACGTCACCGTCTGTGTGTGAAGGGCAGGGTGGGAGCCAAAGCTGTTCTACACCCAGAATTTGGTTGCAACTGACACCCCTCGAGGGCCAAGGAACTTGGGCTCTTCAGGGGCTGAGGTTGGGCCGTGAGGGCATGGGACTGGGACAACTCCCCTCCCTCCCACCAACCTAGGAAGTTCTTTTCCCTCTGAAAGTAGGGCTACTCACCCCACAGGTGGCAGGAGAGGCCCTGGGAAGGAGGTAAAGGAGAGTCAGGATTTATGATCTTAAATCTAACCCTCTTTCCCTGCCTGAGATCCCCACCCACCTCTTTCTTGGGCTCCCTATGCCATGCCTCTCCCAGCAGCAGACAGACCCAGCTCTGCCCCCTTCCCCATTCTCCTCTTACTCCATCAGTACCAGACAGACCAGCTAGGGCAGTTCTGGTGGCGGCGGCAGTGACAGGAGCCAGGCTAGGGCCTTGATGGGCCTCAGTCTGAACCCTGAGCCTTCCCCAACCCCCCCATGGCCCCAGACTCACCGGAGAGCAGCGAGCAGCATCCCGAGGCTCCATAAGCCTCTCCAGAGAGAGGACCACGGGGCTTGGGCCCAATGCCAAGGACAGCAGGAACCAACGCACAGGCATCTTCCAGGTGCCAGGTGGCACCCAGGCCCTAGGCCCTTTCCTGCCCCCCCCCAAAGGGGGGGGGCAGACACCTCAGCTCTGCTCCCACGCAGTCCCCAGTGGTTGGGCGGAAGGGGCCAGAATCTCTCCCCGGCCTCCAAGGTCCCAGAGCTGGCGAGCTGGCACACTCCGTCTCCTCGGAGTCCTGACTGGAGTCTTAGTCTCAGGCGAAGTACTTTCGGTTTTTGGCTCCTGGCAGGCAGCTAGCTGTTCCCGCCCCACCTTGTCCCTCCCACTAGGCCTGGGAGCCAGCAGGCTTGGATTGGGGTGGTGGCCTCCTCTCCTCTTCCCCTCCTTTTCCTCCTCCCTTCCTCTCTCTTCTCCTCCCCTGCTGACATCTGGCTGGGAGGGCCCCTGGAGAGGGCGTAGCAGACTGGCTTCTTGACTTAGTAAGGAGGCTCTTACTCACCCCAGGAGTCCCTAAGGAGGCTGTGCGTGCACCCCAGGGCCTGGGCGGGGCGAAGCATTGTTGCTTCCCACACAATTCTGGGGTCTCGGTGCCCAGTGGGTCCCGTCTTGCTGGCACTCGGGGTCTCTCCACACAGACTCGCTGGGCCTCAGTGGCCCTTTGTAGGCCGGGAGCTCTAATGGCAGCGACAAGGGGCACCAGAAAGTGGGCTTTTCCCCACTTCCCAGCTCAAGCGTGACAGCGCTGGGAGGAGGAATCCAGGGTCTGGGGCCAGACACACAGGGGTCTCCTTTGTGCTGATGGCCTGGGCTGGCTGTGTGCTGATGGACACACACCACTGTTTTGAACTGTTTTTTCCTCTTTTCTCATGAAAGAATTATAATGAGGATCAAGATTTCCAGGTCCTCCTTTGCTTTTCCAGTGACACGACATGGTGGATGGGGGTGTGCGTGTGGACGTGGAGGATTTGGGCCACAACGGATGGATCTCAACCCCCAGGCAGGGTGGTGCTGACCCTTCCCCTAAGAGCATCCTGGGCACCCAGAGAAGCACATTGTGTTTCTTAGTTTATCCATCATGTTTGCCTTTATTCATCTTTCTCCACCTCGGTGTCCACGGCCCCACCTTTGCCCTGGCCACCTGGGGCCAAAGCCTTTTCCCCTGGGTCCAGTCCTCCCTCCCTTTCCACCCGAGCGAGGCCTGGGCGTGGGAAAGAAGGATCCCTGACCCCCAAGGGGGTTCCTCCTACTTCTCTGGAGTCAACCCCCTTCAGAAAGGCCAGGGCTCCTGAGTCCCCCCACCCCTGCCTCAACCTCTCCAGCCTTCCCTGGAGCATGTGCACACTGCTCTCCGGAATTCTGGAGGTCCCCCTCCCACATCAGGACTAGCGTCAGAGGAGCCCCCAGCAAAGAGAGACTCTCTCCCTGGGAGTCCTGAGAGGCAGGGAAGCTTCAGGAGGAAGCAGGACCAAAGTGTGAAAGGACCAGGATGAGGCCGGTGCCCTGCTCCCGGGCTGGACCGCAGGGAAACAAGGCTTTGGGGCGTAGTCCTCGGGAGGCACCCTGAGAATTCCTGGGTGGAAGCCTCTTTCTGAGTGCCAGCCAGTGCCCTTACACCGGTGGCCAAGACATCTGGGTTGCTGGGGAGCACCGCTCAGTCAGCCTCGGTGGGCAAGTTGGGCTGCCTCGCGTTCTAGCCGGCGACACAGTTCCAGGCGGTTCCGCAGGCAGGACCGAGTGCCCAGGCGGCCCCAGCCGGCGGCCCGGGCGGCGGGGCTGGCGCCCAGCGCCCGCAGCAGGCGCGGCAGGTCGCGCAGCAGGCGGTAGCGCGGCAGGGCGCGCAGCGGCGGCGGGATGTCGGCCTTGGCGCAGAGGCGGCTGAAGTAGGCGAGCAGCAGGAGCGGGCGCGGCGCGGCGCGGAGCAGGGCGCGCAGGGTGTGCGCGGTGCGGGGGTCCGGGCCGCGGGCGGGGCTGGAGCCCGCGCCGCTCCACAGCAGCAGCACGGTGCCCCGTTCCCGCACCACCTGCGCCCGCGCCGCCCACAGCCACGGCAGCGGGCCCACCCGCGCCACGCGCGCCCCCTCCCACAGGTCCACGATCACATCGCGCCCGCCGCCCAGCGTGGCCCGCAGCAGCTCGGCCAGCGCCCCCACCAGGCGCCGCTGCGCCTCGGAGTCCGCCACGTGCAGGAGCAGCACCGGGTGCGGTTGGCCGGGGCCTAGGGCGGGAGCAACAGGTGAACAGGGTGGGGGCGAAGGGACGGCTCAGCTCTGACTTCCTTGGCCTCAGGGCTGCATCATAGGGTGCACCCCCAATTCCTTATCTGCGCTGAGGGTGGGCACCCGAGGCAACTCCAGTCAATAGGGTGCTGTGAGGGCTATTTAGATAATAAATAAAAGCGGTGAGGGTCAGGGTGCCAGAATTGGCAGGTGCAGCATAGACTGGATTTCCGCTCCACTTGCCGGGAGCCCGGAGACTTGGTACGTTGAACCACCTGTACAGAGGGACCTTTGCCCTGCCTTACCCATTCCTGCCCTCTAGGGGGCCTGAGGCGCGCGCACGCGCGCACACACACACCCTCCTTGGATAGCAGACCTCTTGGTGCTGGGGCAGGTACATGGCTCTTGGGGAAGGGAGCCTGGGCAGGGGCCAGCTAGCCTAGGAGCTGGGCAGGTCTAAATCCCCAAATTATGCCCAAGTGAGCTTACCTGACAATGGGCGCCGGAGGATGAGAACTAAAACAACTCCTAGGAGAGTGGTGAGGGCCAGCAGTGCCAGGATCAACAGTCCCAGGTGTCTATTAGAGACTGAGTAAAAGAGAGAGAGAGAGAGAGAGAGAGAGAGAGAGAGAGAGAGAGAGAGACAGACTGAGTCAAGCAAGGTGAGGCCACACTGGGCTACTTAGTGCCCAACCTTTCTCCCCACCCCTCACCCCCCACCCTACCCCCGCCAAAGAACTCACCATCTGGACACAAGAGGTGCTTCCGGGCAAACTGGACATCTGACCTCCACACCTGAGGGCACAGAGACCCCCCCACCCTGTGAGCCAGGGTTCAGTGCCACCTCCAGGAGAAGTTAAATGAGGCATGAAGATGGTGAAAGGGAGGCCCCCTGGATACGGAATTCATCCAGCACAGAACAGGTCAAGAGTGGCAAATTCAAAGAGTAAACTCAGCGTTGGCCAGGGTGTCCATGGGGACCTGGAGGGCACAGGCCCGGGTGGATGTAACCAGACACCACTGAGCTCTAGCCTGTTGTCACCAGGCCTGAATGTGGACATAGAGAACTAGGTTTTCTTTTCTTTTTTTTTTCTTTTTATTGATTTTTTACAGAGAGGAAGGGAGAGAGATACAGAGCTAGAAACATTAATGAGAGAGAAACATGGACCAGCTGCCTCTTGCACACCCCCTACTGGGGATGTGCCCGCAACCACTGTACATGCCCCTGACCGGAATCGAACCTGGGACCTTTCAGTCCCCAGACTGAGCCAAACTGGTTTCGGCTAGGTTTTCATATATATATATATATATATATATATATATATATATATATATATATATATCTCCCCAAGAGAAGCCAGAAATCAGCTTTTTAAAATATGATGTCTAGCCGAGACTGGTTTGGCTCAGTGGATAGAGTTTCGGCCTGCAGAGTGAAAGGCCCCAGGTTTGATTCCAGTTGAGGGCATGTACCTTGGTTGCGGGCACATCCCCAGTAGGGGGTGTGTAGGAGGCAGCTGATTGATGTTTCTCTCTCATTGATGTTTCTGCCTATCCCTCTCCCTTCCTCTCTGTAAAAAATAAATAAATAAATAAATAAAAATATATGATGTTTCCCAATATTTAAATGGTGGTAACACATTCCAATTTCAAACACCATGTTGTCCAAACCAAACGTTTTTGTGCACTGATTTGCCCCCTCTGCCACCTGTGGACTAGATGCTAGAGGAATGGGTGTGGAGTGCAGGATTCCTTACCAGAACACAGGCCCCTGGCCTCTGGAAGGGAATGATGAGCTCTAGTGTCACTGGACTTGAGCCCTGAGTCTGTTGGAATAAAGAACAACATGACTGTTTGCACGGAAACAAGTCTGGCTCTGAGCCTTTGCCCATGATGTTCCTCCCCCGCCTCACCCCCACCTCCTCCTCCCATTCCTCCCAAGCCTTCAGGCCAAGTGCCACCCCTGACAAAAAGCCTTCCCTGGCTTCATTCCTACATCCCTCTGATCATTCCCAGATCAGAACTGCTGCGTAGATGCACGCTAATCAGTCAATCAGGTACTCGTCAGCGGACGTACCGTGGGTGCCCACTCTGTGCCAAGCCCTGAGGAAAGAAGGCGGGCGCAGATGTTTTCTGTCCTCCAGCAGTTCACAAAACAGGGAGGCTAACAATGTGCTGCCCTACTCCTGTCCGGCGTACCTGAAGGGGTAGCTTGTCCATTGAAAAAAATGTACGATGTGGGGTCAGCAGACCACAGCTAACAAAGTCAGGTTTAACCATTGCCTTTGTGGTTCCTAGCTGTGTGAAACCAACACATTTGGTTGGTACATGGATCCCTGAGCTTCAGTTTTTTTCATTCGTCTGTGGAGGCTAGTAATCCTTGGTTTACTGGGTTACTGAGCATCACGTGGAAGTATGCGTGGGGACACTCTTTATAATACACAGTGCAGTGTGAATTCATTTAGTAGTAGCAGCTATTATTACCCCTTGGACTCCTAGGGCAGAGACTCTGTTATATACTTTTCTTGTATCTTGAAGGGCCTAAGACAAGACAGGATAGGCACAGAATAGGCACTCAATACAGACATGCTGAATTGGACAGAATTGCCATCTGTTTACAGGCAGGATGTGGCTCTGCCCTATGTTCTGGGTGCCGGGTAGGGAGTGGTTCCACACTTTGGGAATACCCCCCCATTCCCCTCCTGAACCCTGTTCTAGATCCCATTATCCAATCAGCTGTGAGTAAGTGCTGATGCAGGGGCTCTCAAATCATAGCTGAACTTGGTGAAGGCAGTCTTTTCCCAGCTCACGGAAACAAATGAGCCCATGGATTTAGTTCTCAGTGTTAGGTTTTCCCACATGACTCTGCCTTACAACTTGATCAGGGCTTGGTCTTAAATCTTGAGCATTTGCTACCACCTTCCTGCTTGGGAACCCTCAGAGAATACAAACCAAATAGCTGCCAAGTGAGTATTTAAGAAAGAACTCGGAAGAGCTACTCATGCTTAGTCAGCTTGGGGCTGTGGTTTTGAAGATATATTTGATTATGGTTTTTACATCAGATACACAGAAGAAAGTCAACTCGTTAAATTAATCTTAGTTCGCATAATAGAGTCAAGCCTGTCAGGAGTTTACAGTCTTCCAGGGCCTCTGTCTCCCAAGGCAGTGAGATGACTCCTGCCAGGAGCCTGGGGGAGGGAGGCAGGAGCACAGTGGTGGGGACAGCGGAGTTGGAGAGGGCAGCGGTATAACGTGGGGCAGCAGTTTGAAGTGGGGCAGAGGATGATAGCTGGCTGCGAGAAGGCCAGCCCTTTGCCTCTGTTTATTCCTGCAAATTCAGAAACTGAAAGGATTAGAAACTGCCCCATGGAAACCCCATGGCAGAAGGAGCCAGCGGAACAAAGCCTGTTCAAGTAAATAAATAACTAGATGAAGTAAGTCAGGAATTTGCTTGCCGCCACCTGCTGTGCTTTGAGCAACGGGACCCGGTGGGGGCCAGGGCCTGGCGAGGCCATACCTGGCTGATGCTGTACACAGGGGGCAGCAGGCCGTCCTGCCCCATGTCTGGGTGGCTCCAGGCAGCACTGAAGGTGGCATGCGTCCTCGTGGAGAAGTGCAGGATCAGCTGCTGGGCCTGCGTGCCCATGCTCACATTCCAGGATGGGGCTGCTGGGGGGAGTGGGGGAAAGGGTGTCACGTGAGAAACCCTGTTGGCAGGAGGTGAGAGGAGGAGCTGGGCTAGTTAACAGGGAAGTCAAGACAGGGCTAGAGTTTGGCTTGGCCACATTTGGGTGAGGGTGAAATGGGGGGAGAGGTTCCTCTTATTGGCTCACCAGTCTGATGGGGACATTCAATGTGGCTGCTGTTTCCATAAGAGAACTAAGAAATTCAAGAATGGGGAAGGGGGGGGGGGGTCAGAAAGCGCCAGGCACCGTCCATATCCCTCCCCATCCCCTCTCAGTCATGTTTGTACCTTGAAACAGAACTGGGGGTGCAAGTCCACCTTCTCCAAAACATACCACTGTGGTGGGAGAAGGGGGTTAGTCCGGGATCGGGGCCCTGGGCCCCGGGCCCCAGCCCCGCCCATCCAGGTCCTGGGGAGACTGATCTCACCCCCTCCGACTCCCGAGCTGTGGCGTTGGGGAGGTCTTCGCAGAGGGTGTTCCCGCCCTGCCTCTGGCAGAGGGAGGCTTCCAGCTTCACAGGGCAGCGGAGTGTCGGGGCCAGGACCATCTGACTGTGCTGGCTGTAGTCAGTGAAGGTCACTGACCTCCAAAAGTCCGAGCCATCTGGGCAGACAGCAGGGCAGAGAGTGAGGCCTGGGAGGCTTGAACCCTGCTTTGGCCTCGTTTGGCCACCCCCATCCCCAGGGCGCCAGGAGATGATGTCTGTAAAGGTGTTCAGCACAGTTCCCGCTCTGTCTGGGAGCCCCAAAGATGAGCACGCCTTCTTCCAGCCCCTTGTTATTATTACCTTTTCTGTGTACTCCTTCTCGCACCTCCATTCTGGCGAGGTCTTTGCTACTCCCCAAACTTGAAATCTTTTTGTTTTTACACTTGATCTTAGCCAAAAGGCCGAGAAGCGATGAAATCTTTTTGTTTTTGCTAAAGTTCCTCTCAAAACCGGGAATGCCTCCCCTCCCTTCTCTCCTTTCTAAATCCCGCTCTGTTTTCTGAGCGCAGCTCAGGTGTCACCGCCTCTGAGAGACCTTCTCTTGCTGATGACAGCCTTCACTGGCTTCTTTCTCCCTTTCCGGAGTTCATCTCCCGCAGGCTAGTCCTTACATGTAACCCTGCCCCCGACTGTAGGCTGCTTTGTGCTGTTCATTTGTTATGTTTGAGCATCCTGCCCCTTCCGCTTGGAGACAGCAAAGTGTGGACAGCACCTTAGATGTCACCAACCACTTTCACTTATCACGGTGAAGTCAAGCCTCATAAACAGTTGGAAAGTAAGACAGGGCCAATATAATTATTTTACAGATGAGGAAACTGAGTCTCAGAGAAGAATCAGTGGCAGAGCTGGGATGTGAGTCCAGCTCTTTTGGTCCATCCTCAACACACCAACTCCTGTGTGCCTGGTACAACCTCCCATAGAGCCTCCTACACTCTGATTCACTGGCCGGCTGAGCAGTGGACCCTTCCCCCCACTGACTCCAGGGAAAATGCCCATGACTCCCAGAGGCTTCCTCCAACACAGTTGGGGAGTGTGTGCGTGTATGCATGAAAGAGAGACAGAGAGAGGCTGTGCGTGCACAAGAATGCATGTGAGTGGCACTCACAGGCTTCCGGCCAGCTCTGGAAGGGACATTTTTTGCGCCTCACTGTATCCTCTTGCAGGTAGGATGCCTGGGGGGACAAGAAGAGACAGTCAGACCTGAGACTCATTCTGGCTTGCCCTTGCTCTTGCCCTACTGCAAGCTGCCTGAGCTGGCAGGGCATTGAGGAGGGGGAAGATGCAGGGTGTAGGCAAGGGTAAGTGGTGCCTGACACTGGGGGAGGAACTCCAGATTATGGGAGTGAGATCAGCTAAGGAGGGCTGAGTCCTCTTGCCCATGGAGAGAACCTATCCCCAGAAAGAGGCAGATTGTGATGTCCACATCTCTGTCTACTCCTCCACTCTTGGTGGTTCCCAAGATGCCTAGTGCCCTGTATGGGTCTCTCCGTCTGGGTTGCCCAAACTCCCAATGGCTGTCCACCCTGGCAGATGCTCAGTGCTCCAAGTCTCTGCCTGCAGCCTCCCTTTCGTCTCCTCCTGGATGACAAGGCCCCTGCCTTGTCTGTCTAATCCAAAGAAGTTTTAATGTTAAGCGCTTCAGAACTATGGAGAGGAGGACTGCCATGAGGGGGTTTGGGGACAAGACTTCTGAGGCCATATGGAACCTTGCAATGGCCACGTGCCCCCACCGTGAGTGATCAGCACACACCGTGAAGGGACTGCCTATTCCGCCTCAGTGGGCTGAATCCGGGTCTGGACCAAGGAAAGCTGGGTTTGGGAGGAGCTGAGGTTGGAATCACCCCCAAGAGTCTCATGTTCAGCAGGACACTTCCATCTCTGATCCAGTGTGTGGCTCACGGTCAGGCTGACACCTGTCTTCCTGTGCATCTCGTTAACACACAGTCCTTTTAAAACCCGATTTACTAGAGATATGTTTGACCAACTGCACTATCTGGGGAACTAGGAGTGGGGCCATGGACAACGCCCACCTTTTTCTTTACTCACCTCTATGCACAGACAGGGCAGAAGGAATTCATAAGGCAGGTCTACAGTGTGGCCTCTAGACACGGTTTTCTGTTGACGTAAAAAGAGAGAAAGATGCCTGAGAAAAAGTACAGGCACCCTGGCCGAGGGTAGGAAAAAGCTGGGACCTTATTTTTTCTTATGTGAAACTTAATTTTTTTCATCGACAAATTTCCTCCCAAGGGGTCTCTGTTCTGTACTCTGACCGTTTTCTCTAGGTGTCTCAGTACAGGGTGGGGTAAAAGTAAGTTTACAGATATTTGTATGGGAAATCTACACTAATAAAAGAGAAACATGCAAATCGACTGTCACTTTGCTATACCCACCAGCCAATCACACAAATTAATCCAACAAATATGGCTGTTGCCCCACCCCCAGCCACTCCGGGCCTCCGGTGAGGGGGAGGGCCAGGGGTGGAGGGCAGGGGGCAGAGGGAGCAGTGCTCCACCTGGAGCAAAGACTGAAGGCCTCGGCCAGAGGGAAGGCCTGGGTCCCAGGTGCCAGAGGAAAGCTGGTGCTGGTAGCCAGGGGAAGGAAGGTCTATTGCATGAAACACTTTGTGCAATAGGCCTCTAGTAATACAATAATTAATAAATAATAATACAAGAATAAAATCTGTGTTTCACATATTCACTACTGTAAACCTACTTTTGTGCCACCCTGTATATGGAGTCGGGGGAGGGAGGAGACAGGGAAAGGGACATACATTTAATGAGCCCCGCTGGATGCCATGTAGGGTGCGAGGTGCTAAAGCAATAACTTGAGGAAATGCTACCTCTGCAGTGATCTTGGGAGGTGTCATCACCACTTTATAACTAAGGAGGGCTGAGGGCCTCCGTGGTGCAGCATCAATCCCTGCAAATGGTGCCAACTGTACACAAGGGCGTCAGTGACAACTGGGGGTTGAGGTGGTGTGTCAAGATCCGGGCTGGGAAAATGAGGGCCATCTCATTTTCTGAGGAAGGCCACAAAGCGAGGGAAATGGAAGGGAACCAGGACAGATGTGACCGCTTTGTTATTTTCTCGGGGAAAACAACTGCTTGAAGGAACTGAAGTGGTTTCTTGATATAATCTGACTCTCACTGAGGCTCCTCCCATGGGGGTAAACACCGTATTCATTTCTCTGCCAGTCGTTCACAGTTGCGCCAGGTCTCTGCATGCCCTTTCCCTTCCTCTCCTCCCATGTGGCAAGGCCGCCTGCATTTCCTGTCCAGTCCGAAGAAACCTTAATGCTGGGCACTTCAGACTTGTGGCTTTGGGAGAATTTCCAACCCTCCCTGGACCTCGGGCTCCCTGTATGGACAGTGCGTAGGCTGTGTTTTGCTCTAGCACTGCGTGATCTTGCTTTTTACAGGAAAATGACCCTCCATACCTGGACGTCAAAGGGGCTGCTCAGCTCTTCGCACTCCAGTGCCCACTGGTGACAAAGACGCACGCTGACCTCGGGGCCGGAGGGAATGCTCACGCGAATAGCCCGTGCCTCAGGCAGCCAGTCAAAGGAGAACTCGGGCCCTGCGGAGAAGCGGGACTGGGTGGCCTTGTCTCTTGGCTTCAGCGAAGGCACCACTACTTGACTATGCCTATCTCCAGTCACACCCCACGTCTACCTTTATGCCTTTGTGAGTCCTGTCTCGGGAGACCTTCCACTGCCTCTGGATGGGAAGGCTGGGTCCTTTTGAAGCGCGGCCCATTTTGGAAGATGTCTGGGGAGGGGATGGAGATGTGATGGTCCTTCTTAGGCAGGCAACAGCGATGCAGCAGCTTCCTCTGTAGGCAGAGAGCAGGGTTGGCTGAAAGGCGGGAATCAGGATCTCTGGCTTCTACTTCTCCCTCTGGAACCTGGGGTACCACAGGTAAGCTGCTCAACACTTAGGCCTCAGTTTCCCTGACTGTGTAATGGGAGAATAGTCTACTTCATCCCCCTACTTTTCATCTCTCACAAAATGAGCGGCCAGAAAGGAAAGGGGCACAGGGCAGGGCTGGAGCTGGCAGGGGAGTACCTGAGCAGATGCCGGCATCTTGTGTCTCCTACAGAACTGGAACAGGTAAGACTTTTTGGGTTTCTGCACCAGGTGGAGGAACCAGCTCCGGGAAAGGCCTGCACGGGAAAGGGCACATTTAACATCTAGCCCTTTACTGCCCCTTCCCTGCCTGGAGATGATGGCCCCCTGTTGGCGAGTACCGTATTTTTCGGACCATAAGATGCACTTTTTTTCCCCCAGAAGTGGGGGGGAAAAGTCCCTGCGTCTTATGGTCCAAATATAGCCTACACATATACTTTAAAAAAAAAGTTTTTTTACTTGCCCGGCTCTGTGTGGTCTCTGTGTGCTTGCCCGGCTCTAAAATGGTTCTAAATGCTGCTGTTTACTTTACAGGGTTGATTACATGTGTTTATGACTGTGATGTTGGGTTTTAATGCACATAAAATATTTTAGGACACTATTTGTTTCAGAATCTTTTTTTCTTCATTTCCCTTCTCTAAAAACTGGTGCGTCTTATGGTCCGAAAAATACGGTAAGTCATTTTGGATCAGGGAGGGCAATGATATCAAGCCTCCGAAAGTTATGTTACAATAAAAAAATGGATTAATTTCTCCACCTGGTCAGGAAGCTCAGTTGGTTAGAGCACTGTGCCAATACACTAAGGTTGCGGGTTCGATCTCCGGTTAAGACACATACAAGAAGCAACCAACGAAAAAGTAAATAAGTAGAACACAAATCAATGTTTCTCTCTTTTTCTCTCTTACTCTTTCATTCTCTCTCTCTCCGTTCCTCTCTTCCTAAAATCAGTAAATAAAAAATTTTAAGTGACTAATTTCTTAAGTAGAGAAAAAAAAGAACATCTTAAGATGTTCATTGTAGCCCGTCTGGAGTGGCTCAGCGGTTGAGCGTTTGACCTATGAACCCGGAGGTTTGACTCCTGGTCAGGCACATGCCTGGGTTGCAGGCTCAATTCCCAGTATGGGGTGTGCAGAAGACAGCCAATCAATGATTCTCTCTCATCATTGATATTTCTCTCTCTCTCTCCCTCCCTCCCTCCTTTTCCCTTCCTCTCTGAAATCAATAAAAAATATTTTTTAATAAGATGTTCATGGTAATATTGTTTATAACAGTGAAAAATTACAAACTGCCCATTCTTACGCAGAGTATGGACATTTAGTATATATCAGGCACTGAGCTGGACAATAAAAATACAGAGTTAAAAAGTTACTTTACAAATAGAAGATATTAATAGTAAATTTCTAGAACTGACATTTTAATTCCAACAATTGGTGCCAGCTGAAAAGAGAAACATCCCAAAATGACACAAATGAATTCACTAATATCAGTTCCACCTGCCTCAGCCTCCCCGACCCCCAAATGCCCCCAGTTCACATCTCCATTGAGAATGGCCCAAGGATTACTTCTCATACCTGAAGGAGCTGACACCAGGCGCAGGCACAGACAGCAGGGACAGTACCAGCGCCAAGCACCCCAGGAAAGTGGCAGGGTATGGCAAGAAATATGGGCAGATCTTTCTGCAAAAGGTGAAAAAAAAAAAATCAAGTGGTAGGGTTCAAGGACATCTCTCCTGCCTCAGACAAGAAGGACTTGAGGCTGAGCTCTGCCACTTACATCCTGGCTCTGAGACTTTGGGCAAGTTATGGACCCCTCTAAGCCTCGACTTTACCACTCATAAAGGGAGGCTGTTATCAAGATCAAGTAAGATAATGTGTGAGAAAATATGAACGTCATTTTATTACTGACAGTTAAGGGATGGTGTGCCTGGAGATTTGCAGGTCTCTCATTTAATCCTCCCCACAGCTCAGGGGCAACAGTCTTCATTGTACAATCATTTCGACTGTTCTGATAGACCCCGCAGAAACTGAGGGTCGGAGTACTGACTGCAGCCACACATGGAGTATGTGGCAGAATGGTAATGCAAACCTAGACTGTCCTGATTCTAAACCCTGTGCTCTTTCCTTGCTACTATGCTGCTTCCCAGGCTGTGAACCAAAAAGTAGAATGCAAGCCTCAGTGGGGATCTGGAACAAAAGGGCTGTGGGGACCCTGGTTGGTGTTGCTCAGTAGATAGAGTGTTGGCCTATGCACCAAAAGGTCTCGGGTTTAATTCCTGGTCAAGGGTACATAGTTGGGTTGCAGGTTCAATCCCCAGCCCTGGCCAGAGCACCTGCAGGAGGCAATCAATCCATGTGTCTCTCTAAATAGATGTCTCTGTCTCTCCCCTCCCTTCCACTCTCTAAAAATCAATGGGGGATGGGATGGGGAAGAGGAGCAGGGCAGGGAATAAGGACTTACCAGTGAAACTGTCATTCTGAAGGCACAGCGGGGGGAGGGGGGAGAGAGAAAAAGGAGAGAAGTATAATTAGGAGGGATTCTCATAAGGAGCACTCTTCTTGGGGTCTTTGCCCCAAATCACCTAATTCTGAGGCCCAGAAGCTAACAGCCCATCCCCTGTGGTTTTTTTTTTTTTTTTTTTTTTTCCCCAGCTCCACCCTCCCCAAACCCTCAGGCCACTGGGACCTTTCTACCCCTTTGGGATTGTGCAGAGGGCACACTGAGGCTGCCGCCAGAGCACACGGACTTGGGGAGGTGGAAAAGGACAGACAGGAGGGTGGAGAGCTTTTCCAGCCTGTGCCAGGCAGGCATCCCCACCTGGCAATGACACCTTACCATGTGGGAGACCAGCAGACAGCAGGTAGTCCAGTGGGGCAGACAGGTGGGGAAGCCAATCCCAGCGGAGGCAGAGACACCAATGAGCAGCAGGTGGAGAGGCAGGGGCAGGGCTGCCAGTCTGGGGTGCCCCATGGACTTCCGTTGGGTCAGGGCACCCAGAACATGGCTGTACGGCCTGAAGGTGGGCAGCAGGACTTTGCAGTACAGCAACAGGGCGCACAATGCCAGTAGGAACCCTTGCCTCAGCCTGCCCTTGCCCCGCCCAGCCCCAAAGCTCCTCCTAGATCCTAACGAGCAGGCCGGGCCACATTCCTTCTCCTCCAAGCAGAGGGACTGAGGGATGTTTGCCCCCCAGAACACCCTGCTGTCTCCAACTGGAGGGCATTTCTCCTGCTCTGGCAGGGAAACAGCAGGAAAGAGGCCAGCACATGGACAGCTGCACCCATGTTTTAACCCCTCCTACTCTGCAACACCCTCTAGATCCTACACGCCCGCCCGTTAACTAGCTGTTCACTTTTGTCTCCTCTAGACATTTGCTTCATCCCCTCCCTTAGAGAACTGACAGAGCTATTAAACACTGCTCTGCACTGGATGCGAGAGAGAGAGAGGTGACTGGCACACCATTGGAGTTGGGCAGAACCACAAGAAAGCACTAAAGGCTGCACACAAGCCTCACAGGGCCCCATTGGCAGCCTGGTTCCCCACCTGGCCGACTCTTAGTACAGCTCAGATTTCTCTAGTCAGTTCCAGCTTTTCTGGACGGAGGGCTCCATGCCGAAGGGGCCTTTGGCTTCAAGGACCCACTCTTCAGTACAGGCTGCTCAGGAAGCCACAGAGCTCACAGCAGAGCCCTGGAGTGAGGGGAGCGGGCCCCACACACTGACCTGGTTTCCTGTGGTTTCTGTGATGCTGACGAGGCTCCAGTCTTTGTTGGGACCCTCCCCATCATCCCACAGCTTCCTCCCGCTCATGGAGCATTTGAGCTGCTTCAGCCCTCACCTTGACGACGACACACGCAGCGGAAAGAACGTTTGGGGCACACCTACTGGGTTAAGGCATCTCGAAACTGTTACTGTCGCTCTGCACCTCTCAGTAGACTGACCGTAGCTTTCTTTAGGCCAATTCTAGTTTCTGAGTCCTCAGGTCCACTGTCTGAAGATCCCACCCTACCCATTATCCTAAAAATACCCTCTAGCTTTTGAGTTCCTTAGAAGATCAAGACCCTCTCTTACTCTTCATGCTTCTCCAGTGCCTACAGTGGATGCCATGAAACAGGTGCTCTTTCATTGAATAAATGTAAATTATGAAAGCAGTTTATCCATTTCACAAAGTACTTTCATGTTTGATCTTCGTAACTACATTGTAAGTCAGGTGGGAATTGTTTTCATTTCAAAAAGATAAATAAGCCGAAAGGAATGTTATTTGGTCAAAGTCCAGGTCTCTAGCATAGGGAGCTCCACTTCTGCCAGCCTCTCCCAGGTCAATTCCCTTCCGTCCTCCTCCCACTGCCTCATCTCCCCCTGCTTCTGGGAGCCCCGGAGGGCCTGCCTGACACAGTTCTGTCTTTTGACCTTGGAGCCCATCACTGCAGACAAATGAGATGTAAAGGGAGAAAAGGGTGGTCTGGCCATTCTAAGGATTAGTCAGGGAGTCTTCTGCCTAAATTGTTATCTATCTAACTCACAGTGGTTCAGAGCTACATAGAGTATGAATTTAAAAAATTTTTTTTAAATGTTTTACACTATAATTAGATTTTATTATTTTTAATATGAGAGCAGAGGGATAGGAACATACTCTCTACACAGTCCATGCCACCCAGGGCCAGCTTCCAAGAGTAGCTGCAGCTGCTTTCTTGTAGAGTTTACTGCAGAACAAGGGGTGAGTCCCACTCCTTCACCAAATTCCCAGACAAGCCCAAACTGTTCAGAGCACATCTGGGGAAGGGAGTTCATTAACTTGAATATTAGCAAGTTACACCAAGGACGCTGCTCCCAAAAATGCAAAATCAGAACGCTGCAGCCCACAGGGAGTTTATTGAGTCTTCAAGACACTATACAATGTAGACTCCTCCCCCAGAGAAGGGTCTTTCAGAGGCAGGGAACCATCCTCCAGGGGAGTTGCTCACTTGCCATTTTCATAGGCAGCTCGATTCTTCTTCTTGGACTTCTCAAACTCCTGGGTCCCCCATGTGTGGGCAAGATGAAACGCTACAAATGGCCGTATGTCACCACGGATGGACGCCTGAATGCTTGCTGCGCAGCACGTTGGGGCTGCCCTGGCTGAGGCAGTGCGGGAAGGCACACTATTTGAAAGGCAACAAGCTGTAAGTGATCACATGCCTCATCACGACGGCTTCCCAAACTGGGGCACCTGGTGGCATGGAGGAGCCCACGGTCATCTTATCCTTCAGTCCTGGGGTCCACTGGCCTCCATTGGCCACTTCCGGCAGCAATCATGCATCTTTCAATGCTGGGTACATGAAATGAGAAACTTGGCTCTGTTCTTTAATACTAGTACTTCTCTTTTTAAAAAAATATTTTTTTTATTGATTTTAGAGAGGGAGAGAGAGAGAAAAATAATGATGACAGAGAATCATTGATTGGCTGCCTCTTGCACATCCCCTACTGGGGATTGAGCCAGCAACCCAGGCACATGCCCTTGACCAGAATCGAATCTGAGACCCTTCAGTCCACAGGCCTATGCTCTATCCACTGGGCCAAGCCAGCTAGGGCTATATTTCTCTTTTCTTGACCCCTTTCAGGGGTGGGGAACTTTTTTCTGCCAAGGGCCATTTGGGAAAACTTTTAAGAAAACTGGAAAACGTGAAACCAATATAGGGATTCAATAGGTTCTGCTGATTAAGAGTGGTGAGAGTATTAGGAGATAATACAGGACTGCTGCACTGAGACCACAGTTTGGAAAATCTCTGAGATTAAGAATTTTGGTGGTTCAGCCGAGACTGGTTTGGCTTGGTGGATAGAGCGTCGGTCTGCGGACTGAAGGATGCCGGGTTTGATTCCGGTCAAGGGCATGTGCATTGGTTGCGGGCACATTCCCGGTGGGGGGTGTGCAGGAGGCAGCTGGTCAATGTTTCTCTCTCATCGACATTTCTAGCTATCTATGCCTTTCCCTTCCTCTCTGTGGAAAATCAATAAAATATATTTTTTTAAAAAAAGGAATTTGGGTTGTTCAAAAATGAATAGCACATAGTAGGGACTTATGATGATGATCTAGAGCTGTGCTCCTTGTATATTCTCTTGCATATAGGGATGCAGGAAAAGAAATGAGTATGAAGTAGAAGGCAAAGAGTTAAATTTGATATGATAATGAGGACATCTAGAGGAAGACATGTTGTAACAGAAAGTACTCCCAGTATCTAATATGGCTGAGTACATTCCTGTTTATAGAAAAGAATGACTGTAGAGGAGAGGAAAGAGATATGCAGTTAGAATCTGAGTATCATCCATCCAGAGACATAAAATCAAATGGATAAGAGTAAAGGGACCGTAGCCAGTGTGGCTCAGTTGGTTGGACTGTTGTACTATACATCAAAAAGTTGTGGATTAAGTTCCCAGTCAGGGCCCATACCTAAGTTATGGGTTCAGTTCCAGGATGGGGCGCATAAGAGACAACCAACTGATGTTTCTCTTTTTCTTTAAAAATCAATGAACATATCCTTGGATGAAGATTAAAAAAATATATATCCCCATATATTTATATATCTAATCTATATAGAGACACACATCTCCCATGTAGTATTTATTGTGTCACTTTTAAACATGAAAGAGCCTTTAGTTCACATATCTTGGTTGTTGTTGTTTTTTTAAACATTTTTTTATTGATTTCAGAGAGGAAGGGAGAGGGAGATAGTAACATCAATAATGAGAAACACTGACCGGCAGCTCCCTACAGGGGATTGAGCCTGCAACCCAGGCATGTTCCCTTGACCAGAATTGAACCTGGGACCCTTCAGTCCATAGTCCGATATTCTATCTGCTGAGCCAAACCAGCTAGGGCTACATATCTCTTTTTCACTTCTATTTTTAACTTATCTGCTCCATACCATTAAATATCGTTCACTCGTTGTTTCACATTTGTATTATGTTTCACTTAGGTTGCATATTCCCTGTATGCAGAGATACTTTTAAATTATTGTGGATACCATAATATAGTACAGTAGTCCCCCTTTATCTACATTTCACTTTGTGGTTTCAGTTACCTACAGTTAACCACAGTCCAAAAATATTAAATGGGAAATTCCAGAAATGCGTAATTCGGAAGTTGAAACAGTGTTCTGACTAGCATGATGAAATCTCGCCCTGAGACCATTTTCACTTAACTTTTATTACCGTACATTAATATAATTATTCTAGTTTATTACTGTTGCTAATTATCTTACTGTGCCTAATTTATAAATGACCATAGATATGTATGTAGAGGAAAAACACAGTATATATAGGGTTTGGCACTAAGGCTTCAGGCATCCACTGGGGATCTGGAACGTATCCCCCATAGATAAGGGGGACTACTGTATCAGACACGTAACTGACTCTCTAACACTGAAAAATAAACATGAATATACAACCAAAAGACGACTGCATAACCCAAGCTGGATAAGTGAGAATGAACCATCTGACAGGTGGAGAGATTAAATGTATGGCCCATGACAGTTCCTGCTGTTCAGCTACAGGGTGGCAACTTTTCCTTCTCTATGGCCACTGCCAGGTTTCTCAGGGGGTTTCCATCTATCTCCTAGCGTCTAACGCCACTCAAGCAATGCACCACTCAGTTAAATCCCAAGCACAAGGCACAGGGTAGACAGGGCAGTTATAACTTTATTGAGGTTCTTTGTAATGAAAACGCTTCAGAGTAGAGACCACAGCCTGCGGGAAAGCAGCCTCCTAATGTTTCTTCCCAACCACCCATCAATGGAAGTAGAATTTGGCTGACCCTCATCTCCAGTTTCAGTGGCTAAGGGGTAATGGATGGAAATGGAGAGAATGACTAAGAGGCAAGGATGAGGCTCAATCTTAAAACAGAAAAATCCTGAAGGGCTTCAACTTCAGCTAGCTGAAGTCCGTTTTACAGCTGTTCTTCGCTCAGTTCCAGCCAACCAGGAATAAGTTAAATATCATTTTGCCACCTGAGCTAATGACAATAGTAGCAGCTTTCCAGAATGTGGGCCTAGTTTGCACCAGTGGCCAACATCACAGCTGCCAAAATTGTCCACAGAGATTTCAGAACAGCTCCTCTACCCTCTCACTCTTCTCAATGGGAGGCGGGGGGCTAGGCTTCAGCCCAGAGACCAGTCCATCCGGCAGGCTTCATTTACGCTTCTTCTCCTGTGTGCTGGTGAACCAAGAGTCTAGGAGCTTCTTGCTGTAGTGTAACTGCCAGGCATGCACTTGAACTGCCAGCACCAACACCAGGTACATCACGGAGACGGCAGAAAAACCAAAGAGGAAGCGGTAGGCCTTGCCATGGCGATAGAGCTGCTGGGCAGCTGGAAACATCTCCATGCTGCCGTAAATGAGGGGAGCGATGGAAAAGAGCCCCATGCTGATCATGGAGAGCACCAGGTAGCTAATGTTGTTGCGGGGGAAGGAGAGGAGACCCAAGATAGAGGGCACAATGCTCAGCAAATATGGGTACTCCCACTGATAGGGCATGGCCACCTGGTCATGTGACAAGAGCCTCAGGTGTCCCACGCTCATCTTGGCAACCAGCAGCAGCCATAAGACCAGATGCACGTAGATCAGCTTCTTGATTTCATACTTGAGGGTCACACTGTGGGGCAGAGCAGAGGGAGAAGTTCCTTTCATTCAAAATTTCCTGACCAACTGTATGCCAGGCAAGTATACTGGACAAATAGAATATGAATGTGAACAAGATCTAGTTCCTGTCTAGAGGCTGGGCGCAAGGAACGGAAGAAAAAATTATTAGCAAACAAACTGGAAGAGCTCTAATAAATATATGCTGCAAGATACAAGGGATCTCAAAAAGCAGAAATCTGCTTGGGAGGGGACATCTGAGAAGGCCATTTAGAGGAGATATTTGAGCTCGGCTCTGAGAGCTGAAAGGAGATGGGCGTTCCTAATTGCATGCAGGCAGAAAAACACAAGGCATTTGTGTTCCAAGAAAGCCAGTGGTTGGGTACGGGTGGTACATCCTAGGTGGGGAGGGGAGTAGCAGGATACAAAATTGCAATGTCTATGAATTTAAAGGCAGAAGAGTAACTCAGAGTTGTGTTTAGAAAGATGACTCTGACTGCACCCTAGGAGTACAGCATAGAAGGCGGTGAGGAAATCAGCTCAGCCTGCTCGTACTTGCCATGCTAGAGCAGACTGTTTCTTCTAAAGGAAGTACATTATTTCTTATTCTTCTAACTCTCTCAGGTCCTAAATGTATCTTCTTCACATCCTGGAGGACAGTCTCTGCTCTCTGCATAGTTGAAAATACTTGCCTGGGCTGTGAGGTGCCCTTAGGCAGGGGTCTTAAGGATAACAATGAAGCGAGGGTCCAACGAGCATGTCATTATTTAAAACTCTGGAGAGGAAGATGCAAAAGCATTCTGGAAATGTTAAATGGATTGTGGGGGGCGGGGGGGAGAGAGACACCTCTTCAAGTTTTTATTTTAAAAATATTCATTATAGAAAGTGTGAAAAGGTAGGAAAGTCAGTTATTTCTTGACTTCAAGATTCATGAAGACAGGAACCAGGTTTTTTTGTTTGTTTTGTTAATAGTTTTTTGTTTTGTTTTTTATTGAAGGTGTAATATGCATACAAAGACCAGGTCTGCTTTTGCTCACTTATCTTCAGTGCCTCGCATAAAATGCCTCCTGGGTAGAAGCTCAATAAATGATTGCTGACGGAGTAATGTAGAAATAACCCTTACGTGGGGGTGTTTATAAAATTCATTTTAGGCAGGGAAAGGCTGGCCTTTACGGTCTACATTCCCCAAATACAACAGCTACCATGTATTGGGCAGACGCGATTTTGTGCTAGAACTTATTGCTACGTCCTTTACACGAATTGTTAGCTCACTAATTCTTCACCCATTCCTTAAAGGTCGATTCCTTCTTTCCTCTTGCACGTGAGGAAACTGAGGGTCAACTAAAAATTAAGTTCCCAAGAGCACATAGTGGGGCCAGTATCACCACAACTGGAGCCCAGGGGGCGTCTGCACCCTCTCAGGGCACAGGGCGGGCCAAGGGAGGGGACCCATGGGAGCAGCTGGGCTCTCCAGGGTTGGGGGCAGGCCCTGGGCCGTCTCGGGAGGGAGGAGGGAACGTGGCAGATGAGTGTGGATAGGCTGGGGAGAAAGAGCCCGAGGCCGGGAGGCGTCGCTCCCCAGGCCAGGGGCGCTCCGGCCGGGAGAAGGCCTGTGTGCTCCTCGCCTCGCTTCCTACCTCATCTGGTAGTGCATGGCGACGCGCTCCCGGTGCTGAAAGTCGCTGCCATCAGTGCCGGCAGCTCGCGGACCTGCCCGAGACGCCATTGGCCCGGCCCTGCCCTGACCCCCGGCGTCGTTCACGCAGATACCCTTCCTCCTGCAGACCTCTTCACGCCGCCTCGGCTCTGGAACCCCGGCGGACACACGGGTTCTGTGAGAACAACTTCCGGCCCCTCTGTCCCTGGAGGACCGACTCTGTGGTCATTCTCCTCCGCGCAGGCGCACGCGCTCTCTCCCGGCCTCGCCCAGGCCCCGCCCAGGCCCCGGCCCCGGCCCCGCCCCCGCCCCCGCCCCGGCCGCCTCGCCAGCTGGGAGAGCAAGAAATTAACCTCGCCCCCTTCTCCCTGCCGCAGTCATCTTTTTGCCTTGGCCACTTTGACTTTCTTAAACTCCATGCTGCTGTCCCCACTTCGTAGGTGGGGACTTTTTTTTTTTTTTTTTTAGCACTTTCACTTTTTAAAACTCTAATTTGAGTTTAAGAGGCCGCTGCCCACCCACTCCCCTTCACAGATGGGGAAACTGATGCTTGGATGGGTTCTGTGACTTTCCAAGCACACGTCACACAGTCACGAGTTATCTATCCATGGATTACATAAACGTTGCAAAGAGAAAACAGTAACTTCGGAGAAAACTTGTGCGAATCCTTTTCACCAAATAATCAAAATTAAATTGTCCACTAATGACAAACCACCACTTGTACCTCTTGATGCACAGCATCAGTTCTGTGATATTCCTGCCGGAATTCTGAGATACTTAACCTGGATCTAATCATGATGAGATGACAGATATATTCGAATCGAGGGACATTCTATAAGATAACTGGACTGTACTTTTCAAAAAGGTCCAGGGCATGAAAGAAAAATATATTATGCAGAGGAAGAAAGTTAAATGATGGATGCCAGGGGCAGGAGGAGGAGGGAGTGAGGAGTCATTTAAAGGGTAAAGAAATGAAAAGGAAGCCAGGCAGGTGTGTTGAGTGTGGTCAGGAGGTCAGATCTGGATTCCAGATCAGGGCACGTGCCCTGATTTTGGGCTGGATCCCCAGTAGTGGACACGCAGAAGGCAGCTGATCAATGATTCTCTATCATCATTGATGTTTCTATCTACCCCGCCCTCTGTGAAATCAATAAAAACACGTTTTTTTAAATATCAACAAAAACATTTTTTGAAAAAGAAATGGAAAGGCAGACAAAAAAAGTTGTGGAGATGAATGTGGTGATGGATGCACAGTAATGTGAAAGTACTTAATTTCACTAACTGTACACTTAAAATGGTTAATTTTGTTACATACATTTTATCCCAACAAAAAAAGAAATACATAAAATAAGAAAAATTTAGTTATGTTATCTGAAATTAAGCATCTTTTTATATGTTTAAGGGTCATTTGTATTTCATTTCCCTGAACTGTGCTCATATTCTTTGCCCATTTTTCCACTATGCTGTTGATCTTCTTAATCTATATATAGAAAGAAGAGGGAAGAGGGAGGAGAGAGAGAGAAAAAGACTGGCCTCTTGTTTATAATATTAGTTGAAATATATTTTTCCTATTCATTGTGTGTCTTTTGACTTTACTCCTGATAGTACAAGTTTAACATGCTGAATATTTTGAATGTAGTTGAATATATAATTTTTTAATTTATTTATTATTATTTTTTTTAATATATTTTATTGATTTTGTACAGAGAGGAAGGGAGAGAGATAGAGAGTTAGAAACATCGATGAGAGAGAGTCATCGATCAGCTGCCTCTTGCACACCCCCTACTGGGGATATGCCCGCAACCAAGGTACATGCCCCTGACCGGAATCGAACCCGGGACCCTTCAGTCCCCAAGCCGACGCTCTATCCATTGAGCCAAACCGGTTTCGGCAATTTTTTAATTTATTGAATTTTATTTTTGAGAGAGAGAGGAAGGGACAGGGCTAACGAGAAAAACATGTTGTGAAAGTGAAACATCCATTGGCTGCCTTCTGCTGGCCCCCACCGAGGATCGAGCTGCAACACAGGCACATGCCTGGCTGGGAGTCAAACCAGCAACCTTTCATGCACAGGACCGCACACAAGCAACTGAGCTGCACTGGCCAGGCCAGTGTGTGTGTGTGTGTGTGTGTGTGTGTGTGTGTGTGTGTATACATATATATATATACATATATATATATATGTATATATATATGTTTTTGTTGATATTTTAAAAAACATGTTTTTATTGATTTCACAGAGGATGGGATACACACACACACACACACACACACACACACACACACCGTATTTTTCGGACCATAAGACGCACTTTTTTCCCCCCAGAAGTGGGGGGGGGGAAAGTCCCTGCGTCTTATGGTCCAAATATAACCTACACATATACTTTAAAAAAAAAGTTTTTTTACTTGTCCGGCTCTGTGTGGTCTCTGTGTGCTTGCCCGGCTCTAAAATGGTTCTAAATGCTGCTGTTTACTTTACAGGGTTGATTACATGTGTTTATGACTGTGATGTTGGGTTTTAATGCACATAAAATATTTTAGGGCACTATTTGTTTCAGAATCTTTTTTTCTTCATTTCTCTTCTCCAAAAACTGGTGCTGGTGCATCTTATGGTCCGAAAAATACGGGGTGTGTGTGTGTGTGTGTGTGTGTGTGTGTGTATATATATATATATATATATATATATATATATATATATATATATATATATTGCTTCTCAATTCTGAGTCATAACTAGACTTTCTCAACTCCAAGGTGTCTCAACAATAGTGTAAAAGTTCGATAAATGCTGTTGAGTAAATAAATTCCGAGCCGAAACCATCCTCTTCTAAGCACTGTGAAGTCTTCAGGTTCATGGAGCCATTCTCCCGTTTCTTCTCTACCTCTATCCACCCACCTGCCACCCCTCCCCTCTGGCAGATACTCTCTGTCTTTGGTTATATTTGTTTTTATTGTGTACACAGTCCAGGATGCACCCATGTTCGTCAGGGCCAGACTGCTTCTGAGTCATCCCATTCACCTATCACGGGACACCAAACACACGTTCAATAAATGTTTGAGGTGTGACTGTGCAAGGGAGGGCCTGAACTCTTTCCCCAGGTCTTTCTCCCCAAAGTATTTGTTTATAGTTTTCTTTTTTAAACTGTTTTATTATTATTTTATTTTTAATTTTTTGTTTTGTTAATCCTCACCCATGAATATTATCCCATTGATTTTTAGAGAGCAGAAGGGAGAGGGCGAGGCACAGAGAGAGAAAATTCGATGTGTTGGGGATTGAACCTGCAACTGAGGTGCCCTGGGCGTGTCCTTTGCTGGAATTGAACCCAGGACCCCTTCAGTCCACAGGCCAATGCTCTATCCACTGAGCCAAACCTGCTGTTTATACTTTTCTTCTGGCTCTTGGTCTGCCTTAAAGTTTAGTGATTTGTGTTCCTGTCTCTTCATCCTGCTCATTCCCTTCTCAAATCCTTTTGATGTTTCTTTTGCCTGGGGAGAGGGGGTAATGTCTCCCAACAGAACTTCAAAATCTGGCTTACAGGACCAGGCAGAACGTGTAGACTGAATATTTGTGCCTCCCCCACTCCCAGTCGTTATGCTGAAGCCTAATCCCCAATGTGATGTAATTTGGGAGGTGGGATTTTGGGAGGTGGTATAATGTCCTTCTAAAAGAGACTCCCTCTCTCCTCCACCATGGGGAGGACACAGAGAGAAGAGGGCTATGAACCAGAGAGCCAGTCCTCACCAGACCCTAAACCTACCAGGGTCTTCGTCTTGGACTTGCCAGGCTCCAGAATTGTGAGAAATAAATTTCTCTTGTTCAAAAGCCACTAGTACATAGTTTTCATTTACTGCAGCCCAAATGGACTGAGACACTCCAGGGCTTCAAAAGACTGGTTTCTCACCAGTCAGGATTTAGCTGAAAGCTCACCTTCCCTCAGACGTTCCTAATCCCAAAGCCAATCTTGCTCTCCAGCCATTTGTTGTCATATCACCTGGTTTTGTTTTCTTCCCAGGACATCAATATCTGAAATTATTTTATTTGCATGTTTGTTCATGGTCAGAGTTCTCCCCGCTCCTCCAGTAATGTCCGCTCCTTGAAGTGTGAGACACGGCCGCCTTGTTTCCTGGTATATTCTCAACCTCTAGGAAGGCTGGCTCATAGTAAGTGACTAATAAATAGTTGTTGAATGGTGAATGAATGAATGATGGTTGACTGGGAGCTCCTTCAGGGAAGGATTGGGTCTAAATAACAATAATAATAATAATAATAATAATAATAATAATAATAATAAATAATAATAATAATAATAATAGTTATAATAGCTATTTATTGAGCCTGACAAATGTACTAAGCTCTACAGCAAGTGCATCTCATGATTATCTCATTTCATCTTTAGGACAACCCAATGGGGTAGGAGTTACTAGTATTTTTAATTCCCATTTGTCAGATCAGATCAAACTGAAACTTAGAGGAGTTTCATCACACAGCTAAGGCTAGATGCTGATTTTCAAAGTGTTGTACCTAAGGAGCCACAGCTTCAGCATTGCCTAGAAATCTGTTAGAAATACTCTTTCTTGCCCTAACCAGTTTGGCTTAGTGGATAGAGCATCGGCTTGCGGACTGAAAGGTTCCAGGTTCCATTCCAGTCAAGGACATGTACATTTGTTACTGGCACATCCCCAGAGGGGGGTGTGCAGGAGGCAGCTGATCAATGTTTTTCTCTTATTGATGTTTCTAGCTTTTTATTCCTCTCCCTTCCTCTCTGTAAAAAAAATCAATAAAATATGTTTTTTTATTTAAAAAAAAAAGAAGAAGAAAAAGAAATACACTTTCTTGGGCCCCACTCCAGACATACTGAGTCAGAAACTCTGGGGTGGAGCCAGCAAACTGAATTTTAACAAACCCTACAGGTGATTATTATGCACTAGTGTGAAAAACCCTGGGCTGAAAGATGAGCTTGGAGTCTTATTTATTTATTTGTTAATCATCACCTGAGGATATTTTTTCCATTGTTTTTCAGAGACAGTGGAAGGGAGAGAGGGAGAGGTGGAGAGAGAGGGAGGGAAGGAGGGAGGGAGGGAGGGAGGGAGGGAGGGAGGGAGAGAGAGAGAGAGAGAGAGAGAGAGAGAGAGAGAGAAACAAACACATCACTTGGTTGCCCCCCACATGCAATTTGGGGCAGGGATCGAACATG